TAAGAAGAATCAAGGGGAAGAAATTAAAATCAATTTCAGAGCCACCCTAAGAAATTGTTTCCATTTTAAAAAACAAATTGTATTTTCTGTACAGATTTAGGTGCAATTCAAATATTAAAATATTGATTAAAAAGAAATTTGAAGAATATGCTTAAATAATCCAGTGCTTTCAAAATACACTTGCACACTTTTTATTTACTTTGTGTTGAAACACTTCACAGTGTAGATTCAGTAAGAGTCACTTTGGAGAAAAACCAGCCAAAGACCTGACTGAGATGTTTGTACAAGAGCAAACACAGAGGTTTGGGTATAATCCACGGCAAGCAGTCAATAAATCACAAATCATCCACCTTGCGCAAAGCACCTACATTAACAAAGAAATAAATAAAATATTGGCCTTGGCTGTGGAAATGCAGTAATAAATAGCTGATAGAAATGCTATTTTGGGCACAAGCAGAAGAGGTGAGTAGGTTCAGGAAGAGCACTTATGCCTGAGGTCAGGGTTACGCGGAGACTTCCAGCCTCTACATTTGGAACATCCCCCAGAACTCCAGCCCCAAGGCAGATCCACACCTTGCCATTCCCGGGCTGTGGATCCAGCGGCCTGAGCACTAACCCAGCTGGAACTCAGGAGGCAGTGCCACACTCAGCCAAGGGGATCTACACCCAAGCAGCTCCTCTTAGTCACCAGCCACTGTCCCCAGATATGCTTTCCTCCTTCCCTTGCATCAGCACTAATCCAGCTGCTGATCCCGCTGGGAAGCGGCTCTGCACAGGCACCTGGACTCAGAGCAAAGGTAGGGCCAGCTCACAGCACAGCCACCTGGCCAGGAATGCCACCATAAGGGAGGGAACTGCAGGGCTGGCCACGGGAAGGCAAGAGCACTGCCTGTTTTGGAAGCGTCATCACCTCAAAATTACTTAAGGGACACAAGATAGTAGAGTCCATGCTGGGGCAAAACCCAACACGAACACAAACCACACCCAAAGAACACTGTAACAACAAAACTCAGCTACCGATAAACCACCAGCACAACACACACACTGGGACTCCAAGCAGAGACAGGATGAAAGAAAGAAATGAAAAAACATTTCCAGAGGAACAGATCTAAAAGGTCTGACAGAATCAAAGAGACTTTCAGCACAGCCTGAGTGTGCAAGTCTTCAAAGGGGTTGAGCTGTACAACTCAAACACTCAAGTTAACAATATCAAGTAGCTTAAGGACTATGAACATATTTATGGGTACAAAATACATCCTAGTTAGTAACTGTAACATGTTTGTTAAGTCATCAGGCAGCTGATCAACAGTCTGCTGTCATCAGCCAGCTCTACATTATGTAACACCCAAAGACACCAGGAACTCAAAACCTCATCATAAAGGGAACTAACATCAAATTACAAGTGTTAATTACAAGACAATTATTAAAACATCACTTTCAACACACTCTAATCCACATAGTAAACTGCACATTTATTTAAATGAGAATTATTTTCCTAAGCTCACATGCACTAAGAACTACTGCAGAGCACCCAGAACAGTGTAAATGCAAATGCCTGCCTAGATTAGGCAGGACTTCCTAAACTCTATCCATAAACTGCACAGCTAAAGCAAATTACTAAGCTTTTAATCCAGAACACTTTTCAATATTTGCATTTTCCCATGTCTTTCTTCCCCCCAAAAAACGAGTTGCAAATAAAAGGGGCAGATAGACTGCTTAAGAAGAGGGCAACCGAAAGGAAACAGAAAGGAAACAAACATGAGAGGAGAAACTGATGGAAGAAACAACTTTTATTTCAGGAGAACAGTGAGACAGGCAGGAGTGGGAGAGTTGTGAGATCTAAGCTGCTGTTTTCCACTCCCTCCCTGCCTTAGGTCACCCAGACTGGGCACCGCGGCATTGTTATCGAGTTCTCTGTGCCTGGGCCACTTCTTTGCCACTGGCGCACGGCGAGCGGCAGCACACATTGTGCTACTACTGCTATGTCAACACTGAATTTCTGTGTGACACCTGACATGGGGAGACAGATACACCTGAGCAACCACAGGTACCACATCCACCTGATTACACAGTAGCAAGGAGTCCAGCACAGGGGAACTGCTCCAGGCACTCCACGCTTTCCAGGCAGGGACAGTACTCTCTAGTTCTCCGGTGATCCCAATACAAAAAAAAAGCACCACAATAACCCTAAACTACTCAATTTTCAGGAAGAGTGCCAGTGAATTTCAGGAGCTTCTAAGAGATCTCTCACCGTCCTTGTTGGGACTAGGACCTTTCCTTGATAAACTTTTTACCCCACTGCAAAGCCAAGTTTTAAGAATACTTTTGTTAGAAACTGAGTGCTCACCTCTGAGCTCTGCTTTGAGAAACCAGACCTGCACAGTCTTAATGAATTGTGTTCAAAGAGTGGAAGTCAGTTTCAGACCAGAGACAGACATCCGGATTCCTATTCCCAGAAAACAAACCTAACGTGTTCCTTCATCATGCTAATCCGAAGTTTCCTGGTGGGTGTATATTTCACATATGTTCTCAGCGTACATCGCAAAGCCAACACAAACAAGCAGCACAGAGCAGCTGAAGGCACTTGTGCCGCGTCACCTGGCCAGCCACCTTTCCCAGCCCAATGGGCACTGCAGAAACACCTTCATCCCACGGAAAACCCACCTGAGCACGGGACAAGCACAACGGGATCCAAAAACAACAAACTTTTATCACTGCACAGGTGGCCGTGCCACTTCACTGGGTAATAAAAACAGGGAAAAAAATAAAATAAACACACACTCAACACTACGTTGCAGCTGGTTGGGAGCTTGCTTTTATGCTCAGCGGAGCTGACTCGCAGCAGACCTGAGGCACCCGGTGGACGCCGCACCTCCCTCCCCAAGGGCTCATCCCTTCGGGATGCGGGATACCGGCCAGAGGAACGAGGGGCAGGCAGGGAAGAGCTCCCCCGCTCCCGGGACGGCCACCCCGAGGACCCACCGGGCCTTTCCCTGCTGTCCCGGGCCGGACGTGCCCGGCTGCGGGCCCCGCGCCTCCCCCGCCCCGCCGGCTGTGCGACGTGTCACCGCGGCGGAGCGCTGCCCGCCGGCCCGGCCCGGCCCTTACCTTGTTGGTGGGCACGGAGCGGAGCCGCTTGAAGATGGCGGCGATGTCCTGCTTGCTGGGCTCGCACATGGCGCCGGGAGAGCCGGCAGGGCCGCCGGGGGAGCCGTGAGGGAGAAGGGCCGGGGCTGCCCGCGCCGCCGCTCCCGGGACGCTCCGCCCGCCGCGGCCCGGCCGGCCCCACGCCTGGCGCCGAGGGCGGTGCGGCCCCGCCCGGCCCACCCGGTTGCCGCGGAGACGGGAGCGGAGCGAGGCGGGCCCGGGGGGCGCGGTGCGAGGGCGTGCTGGCCGCGGTGGGAAACCCGCAGCCGGCGGTGCCCTGCACAGGGTCACGGCAGCTGTCGGCCGGGAAGAGGCCGCGGAGATGAGCGAGGCCAGCCTTTGAACGCTCGTCGCCGCGTCAGCCGCACCGCGGCACTGAGCGCCACGTGCAGCTTTCCTACAGCTCCGGGGACGGCGACTCCGCCGCCTCCCTGGGCAGCCCGTTCCGATATCGAATCACACTTTCCATGAAATAAATCCACCTTATGTCCAAACTAAACCTTCCCTGGCACAGCCTAAGACTGTGTCCCCTCATCCTGTCCCTTGTTCCCAGGGAGCAGAGTCTGACCCCCAGCTGGCTGCACCCTCCTGTCAGGGAGGTGTGGAGAGCAGTAGAGCTCCCCTGAGCCTCCTTTTCCTCCAGGTTAAACACCCCCAGCTCCCTCAGCCGCTCCTCATCAGACTTGTGCTCCAGCCCCTTGCCCAGCTCCGTTCCCCCCTCTGGACACGCTCCGGCCCCTCAGTGTCCATCTTGCAGTGCCAGGCCCAGAACTGGACACAGCCCTTGGGGTGAGGCCTCCCCAGTGCCCACAGCAGGGGGACTGGCCTGCTCCTGCTGGCCACACCATTGCTGGCCCAGCCCAGCAGCCATTGGCCTTCTCGCCCACCTGGGCATGCACTGTGGGCCAGCAGGCCCAGGCCCTTCCTTCCCTGCTGGGCTCTTCCCAGCCTGGAGCTGCTGGCGCTTCCTGTGACCCAGGGGCAGGACCCGGCACTTGGCCTTGTTGAACCTCATCCTTTGGTCTCAGCCCATTTACCCAGCCTGTCCAGATCCCACATCACGGGATGTGGGATTGGGAATCAGCCCCTCTCAGACCTCCAAGAAATTCTTTTGACTAAACTAGGAGGCCTGACATGAAAGTTTCAATATTTTTAGGATGATGAAAAGGTCAGAAACAATAAAAATCTTTTTTCCTGTCTCTTTTTATACTTCACAAAGAAATAGACTACAAAGCCAATACCCAGGAAATTATCATAAAATCAATAGAATGATCCTCCTTCTCTCTACAGGTCATCACACACTGAAATCTGAGGGGTATATGACCCAGGGTACTTGTGAGGCTGTTCACTGACGACATTTGCAAGCAGAAAAGTAAAAGAAATGGACCTCCCTGGAAATACCAGTCATGTAGCCTTCCTCTGAGACAGAGTTGTATTCAACTATTAAAAAAAATATAAGATTATTAAAATTAATATTGGTATATTTGGTTTTGACACCTCACTGATTGTCTTGTGTTACCCTCACCTTGCACTGTCTTCTACCACCCATCTAGTATTTCTAATATTCTAATATTACCAAATGTCCAGTCTCCTGATTTTGCCTGTGTCTTGGGTCTAATTTCTGGTTTTTGAGTTTTATGTGCTACATTTTTATCTTGAAGAGGGGAGGGCAAGGGTAAGTCTGAAAAAAAAAAGAGGGTAAGTAGCAAGATCTATAAAACAGGTGTGCCATAAACGGGCTACCCCACAAAAACTGACACTCATACAAATACAAATTGTTATTTTTCCTCCAGTCTGACTAACAGAAGACTGGAGAAAACCAAACCAACCAACCAAACAAACACCAGCAAAAGTGCTTTACTGAATCCCTTTATTGACTTCTGTACATTTATGTATTATAAAGATAGGGTACATTACCAACAGCAGCAACAGCTAAAGTACAGGTAAGTTTAAATACAAGAAATATTCTAGAAATATTTGCTATATAGGCTCCTCCTACTCAGAGTCTGCAAATTCTCTGCAGCCTGCCACAAAGAGGTTAAAATGGATAAGATCCAGAAATAATATAAAAAGAGACAATAAGGTCATAATTACAATCTAATATCTAATCCCCCTTTATTTGAACTTCAGTGCCTCAGTTCCAGTGGGAACTCAGTTTTAACTGAAGCTATGGCACGTGGGAAAAAACCAAACCCAAACAAATACAAAAATCAATTACTGCCCCAAGACAGAAACAATATATTGTGAGATGCTCTTCTGGACAAGTGGAACAGAACAATTTAATTCAAGCCAATGAGGAGATGAAACTGAGACTTCTCTACTAACAACATTCAGTTTCTTGAACGTTCAATATCCCTTTCATATAAATCCAACTAAAGGCTGTCAGAAGAAGAAAAATCAAGTCCAAGCCCTGGCTTTATAAAAAACCTCGTTGCAACCTTTCACATTCCCTGTTTTGTCCGTGAGTTTTTGCACTTGCATATAATCCAAAAGTTTTTCTGTGTTGCACATCAGTGCAGAATCAAGTCAGATATGAATTAAAAGTATGTCTCCACCTGGTCATTTTTGTTGTCCAAACAAGGCCCAAATCCACCTTTTGATGCAGGAGCTTGAGCCCATGTCTTGATACATGCACTGATATAGCTGGATGGTTGCTGGTATTACAGGATTAAGAAAATTCCAAATAAAATTAATATATGTCTTGTCCATATACAGAGAGGTTAGAGGTTTTACAGCGATCTGGGATGACATAACTGGAGAGTGATCAGACTGATGGCATGTCTTCATTTTGTCTCTTCAGCCAAAATAATGTCAAATAAAACAGCCACTACATCCCATTCCATTGAAGAATCAGAACCTTCCTGTGCTGACTTATCTGGAAATAAAAGAGACAAAAGCTGCAAGAATTAGAGAATATCACTGAAACTCAGCCTGCTGTGAGTGTTACCGTTGCTGCCTAAAAACACCAGCCTGTGGTGTGGGAGCTTCCTCGCACCTCCTGCGCTCAATGCCGAGGAAATCCAGCAGGGCTGGGAAGGGCTTACCCGCTGTGGCAGCAGGGTCAGCAGCTATAACGTTTCACGGGCTGTAGCATTTCACTGCAAGCAGGATAACCGTGATGAGCAGAACCACTGAGCAGAAGAGCAGGGCGAAGACCAGGTAGCACCAGAGGGAGTTCTCCGAGCAGGTCACTGCCAAAGGGACAAGGGACAGGGGTGTCACCGTGGGCAGAACAGAAGGAAACTTCTGTTCTGAGTTATGGAGCATGAAAAATCATTGTCCCTCCTGCTATAGATCCAGCACTTGTGTATATATATATAAATATAAATATATATATATATAGTGTATATATATATATAGTATATATATAGTATATATACAATATATATACTATATATCTATATATCCGATAGATATATTATATATATACTATCTATATATACACGATATATATAGTATATATATGTGCATATATACATATATATAGGTTTATATGTATACAAATATATCTATACATGCTATATATAGATATAGTGTATATATAGCATACATAGTATATGTACTATATATAGTGTATATATATACTATATATATATATACACACACTATATATATATGTGTATGTGTATATATAGGTTTATATGTATACAAACCTATGTGTAACTATTAAAATCACACGCTCAGGGTCAGAAGAAACCTTTTCTTGATCAGTTCTAAATTTTATCATCACAGCTGCTGCGAAGAAACCTAAAAATACAACCTCTTGTCTTTAGTGGCAGAGCACAGCTTTGCCAGCACTGCTCTGCCAGAGTTTTGCCACATGCACACACGGCACTGCCAGTGCTTCCCACTCTGGAACATGCCCTGCCTTTTCCTTAGGAAATGGCTTGCAGTGGTTGTGCTATCCTGTGGTAATTGTCTGAGGCTGCACAACTGAAGACCCACAAGGAAAGCTTGAAGGTCCCATTCAGGCTTTAAAAGAAAAAATTATAGGTAATTTGAAATCCTAGAGACTCTTCCCAGATTACCATAATTTTTAAACACAACAAAGACACACTTATTTAATTGGGCTCTAAATCTGTGCCTCCATTCATTTTCTTCTCCAACTTTAATCCTGGCTAGGATCACAGTGTTCATTTGATCCTCATTCCTTAATACTTTCCATTTAAACTGCTCCCCAGTCCAAACAAGAATCAGAACATTCAGCTTCTGTGGTTTTAAAGAGGTTCCAGGTAAGAATATGAAGGGACGGAGATCTCCTAGTAGCATTTATCCATATGTAGAGCATATATGGATTTTGATACTCCTTGAAGAAAATTCTAAAAACCTGGACAGTGTAGCCAGAATCAGAGAAAGGAAGGGAGGGATTGAGGACTGGGATAGAAAAAGGGGCCAAAAAGGCGGACAGATCAATGGCCCTATATCAAAATTGCATTTCTGACACTTTCCATGCTGCATTCCAAGCCTGGATCCACTGGGATAGAATCATAGGGCATTTCAGTGAAGCCAGTTAATTAGTTTTGTCTTTGTAACAGGGTCTCCACCTGGCCCACTCCCTCTTTGGGAGTGGCCTGACTGCCACTTTTATTCAGAAAACACATCTGAAGGTTTCAGTTTCCTTTTCCTTGTTGTGAGACCAAATGAAACCCCAGGGGAAATGTTAGTTTGCACTAGCATTTCCCACAGCTAACATTTTTTCCATGCATATATTGATTCCTCTTATGCATCACATGAATGCAATATTCTCTTCTTCATTCTCACCTCATACACAAGAGTCAAAACTCATATCCAATATATTATTTCACTTTACAGAACAAAATTTTCTTTCAGGGCTGCTTACATGGTATGAAATAGTTTAACTACCTTAAAATTTTAACTTAAGAAAAGACAGACAGATTTTTTTCTGGAATTGTCAAAAAGCTGTTCAGAATTTTTGCTTTTTGGCTATTACTTTTCAAAAGTAGTTCAGTTTTTATTTAAATACTATTATTGGCCTGTTCATTCACCCAGAATTCATTCAGAAGTGAAAAGCAGTACATGGAAATTGCTGCTAAAATGAACAGAAGAGTTTTCAAGTGCCTCTACTACAAAATGAATTTTAAGCATGTTCTGAGCATTGTTCAGGAGTGGGGAGCAGGGAAAAATGGATTGAAATCACCTGCAGCAAAGAGAAAAAGTGACTCCGTCCCATACTCTGGAAAAATATGATGCTTGGCTGCTGAAATATAATGAGAAAACATGAAGTGTCCTGTGGTTGCCATACCTGAATGTGTAATTTTGGGTGTGCTGCCAGGGCTGTCAGATCTCCATTTCATATTCACCTCAGCATATGTGACTGAATCACCTGGAGGGACAAAAAGGGCTGAAGGTACAAGAAGAGTTCCTGCAACAATGGTTCTTCACTGCAGTATTCCAAGTAAATAAATAAATACATAAATAAGATTAATTTATTAAATTTTAGACAATTTTACAAGTCTTTCTAGGTGACTCTCAGTTACCATACACTGAACTACTCTACTATGAATTCTATTTTTTCCTTGTCATTCCATATCTTACACACCCAATTATATATTCTCTCAGTCTTTAAGCAGAAGTTAATCACTGGCCACTTTCCTTGGCTATTTTTTTTTTCTATTTACTTCTTAATAAACCACAAGCTGGGCTATGACACTCATGGTCACAAGCATTATAAAAAATACTTCATCCTGTGTTACAAGACTTTTGCAACCAACAGAAAACATATGAAATGTTGTCAGGGTGGGCTTCCCCAAAGGTGTGGGAGGTGTCACTGACCCCAGCAGTTTTTGGTAGGTGTGGCAGCAGAAAGAAGGGAGGAAGGAAGGAGCTGTATTTTTATATCAACTGCAACACACCACAACCTCCAGGGCTGCCTGCTTTGCATGTTTTGCCTCATTCCCCAAGAGCTACTTTCAAAAAATTTGCTCACTGATAGTGTATGAAATAAGGTTTTTTTCTTGCCTGAAGAAAAGCAACCTCCTAAAGGTGCCAGAGATGCTGAGATCAACCTTAGATTTACAAAAAATATTGAATCCAACCCATTTTCAGAACTAAGCATCTTTCACAGGTAACAGCAGAGTGGTCAGAACAATTTAACAGCATCTGGCAGAAGATGAGGGCTCGGTTTCCTGCACTTGTGCTCTCAAGTTTGAAAACAATGGAACACACAGAGAAACTGAAGACTGTAAGAATGTATAGATATGATTTTATATCTATAAGAACATGAAAAAATATTATACATATTATACAGATGGGTGATTTTTTTTTTCTGCTATATCTCACTAGGACACACTGGTGCTGTTGATAGGTGCCAAGTTCAAAATTGATTTCAAGTATTTCTTCGTGCAAGATATTACAATCAGCCTGTGGAAATCCTTGCTTTAGGATGCTATTTAAGTAAAGCATTTATTGGGACTCCAACAGGGATGCAAGCTGCACAGAAGTGACAAGAATATAGAGATTGCAATTAAAAATATTTTAAAAAAATATTATGACAGGCTAACCACCATGCTGGCATACTCTAAAATATAAGAAAAGCATTTTGTGTGAAATTTTGGTTACTTAATTGGCCTCATAATTGACCATTAGAATTTCTTAGATTCTGAATTTCCAAGCCCCTTATATTGGCAAATTTCAGGAGTATGATCTTGGCTTAGGGGGCTCGCAGAATTTATACAGCAATTTTTAAGCATGATTCACTAAAGTGAAGCTGTGTGAAAGCACTTAAAACTATAACACATAACTGGAAATTTAAGGGACAGGTGAGGAAAAAAATAAACATAGATGGAACAGACTTTTACACTCTCTGAGTTTGAGACACTTTCACAGTGAGTTGTGCTGGGCATGAGGGTGTATCTCCAATAAATCCTTAGGGGAGAGTTTTATACTGGAGTCCCAAGGATTGTCCTGGCTGTGGAGCTCTTCTGCAGAGAGCTGGTCATGTAATTTAAGGGGCAAGCTGAGTTAGCAATGAAAGACAAGGATTTCATACCTGTACAGGTGCTTTTTGTACTCTGTTCCAATGAGTGAATATACATATTTAGTTTTTAAGAACAAATATTGCTTTACTGGTATACTCAGGACATATTTTCCTTTCCTATTGGAATCTCTGAACATTATAATTTAAAATAAATTTTCCATGCTCAATTTTCTTATCACAAGAAAAGAGCTATTTTTTGATCAGAATTGAAAAAGTAAAACTTGATACTTTTATTTTAAAACTATGAATTATTTCCTACGTAAATCCATTAATGGCAATATTTTGCACATCATTTTTTGAAAATATTTTGTTAAGAAATACAGTTTTATAGTTGAAGGCATCAGTATGTTATGCACAAATTGCAGTACTAACAGTTTTCAAAATTGTAGGAAATTCTATTAAACCTTGACTTGTACTTTTCTCAACACAGAACTTTTAGAAGAGAAAGAAAGAGGGACAGAGATAGAGAAAGAGAAAAAGAAAGAAAAAAGAAAGAGAAGGAAACAAGAAAATAGAAACAGACCTATCACTTTAGAATTTAAAAATATTTCTGGTGACTAAGAAACAGAATCAAATTAAAATACAAAATGTAAGTGGACTGCAGGAAAGAGAAGTCCATCCAGTGAACTTCAACTGTCAATGAGTTTTCAATAATCTGATTAAAGCTCTTCAATGTCTGAACATTAATGTGTTTGAGGTCCCATTTCAGCCATCTTACTGAAAGTCAGAATGGGATTTTAAAGGTCAATCTTCACTTTTGCTAGAATTCAGCATTCATTTATCAATAAACATGAATTTGCCATGCCTATATATATATATAAAATAAACAGAGTTGGGTATTAATAGTTTTAAAAGGCTTTCCACTTGACTTCAGCTGCTTGTGAACAATTTAAGAAAGAGTGAAAGTTTTAAGAATGCGTCAGTGAGCAAAGGAAAATAAGTAATATTAAGATGAGCATTTTTTTTTTACCTGTATCTGAAGCTTCTGGAACAAAAGTCACTCTTTCCTTGGGTGACACCACGGCGTAGAGCACCTCACTTGCCATTTTGAAAAGTTGCTTTCGGCTCTCAGGTCTGCCGTCAAAATGGACTCACTGAAGAAAACACAGCCCCATTTCTGTTCTCCTCCCATCACACCACATTGGGTCAAAATAACTGTTTAGAGGTCTGCAAAGCGGAAGGAAATCACAATCTGTTTTTTCCAAATATAAATTCTCACCTTGTAGCTTTCGATACACAATTCTTAATTCTTACTCCCTTCTCTTGTATGTTCTATTAAAAACTGAGATTTTGATGAATTTTCTCATAAACTGTGACTTTCAGCCCACACATAATTTTCATTTAGAACCTGAGCTGGCAACATGCTGAGTGTGTTCATATTCTCTTCAAACCAACTGGACATTAAAATTTGTTTCAACAGAAAACTCAGTTCATGGTTATTAGATTGCTCATTTTGTGATTTTTAGATTGCTTTGGTTTGTGATTATCAGATCACTTCCTCCTAAACTTCCATAGTTCAGGGTTGAAACCAGAAAGCAATGATATGGGGAGGAACAGAAAGAATATCTGACACTGCTGAAAAGCAAAACCTAAATATTTTTGAAATAATGTTTTTCTGTTTTTTTTAAAAAGATGTTTCATACAGAATAAAATTATTTCTAAAAGTTGGGTTTAAAAATATTTCCATAAGGCCCACTTCCTTTTTTTAGTTGGATTTTCCTCCCCATAGAAATTTCTAAATTTTGGGGTTTTTTCTAAATTTTTGGGGTTTTTGGTAACTTTGACTGATACCAAAACTTTGAATTCTTCTCACAGAGATACTTCTGCTCTTCAACCAGCTCTATACCACATGCTAATCCTCATATCCCTGGGGCACTACTTAGCTCAGAATCAAACCAGGGCTGAGTCTGACCTGTGCTTCCTTTGCATGTTGATTTTCCAATTTTCTCAATAAAGGCAGGAAATGGGGTTCTTTAGAGTTATCATGGTGATAAGTCAAGGAATATTTTGCCCTCTTGGGACCAGCCGTAGAAGAAGGATGAACACTTTGGCATTTTCAGCTTATATCACTGAGATGTTTTGAAAATGGGCCATCACAATCCTGGGAAGTAAAAGGTTTTGCATTAATCATGGAATGGTTTGGATTGGAATGGACTTTAAAAATGCTGTAGTCTCAACCCCTCTGCCATGGGCAGGGACACCTTCCACCAGACCAAGCTGCTCCAAATCCCATCCAGCCTGGCCTTGAGGGATGGGGCAGCCACAGCTTCTCTGGGCTCCCTCCCTCAGCACCCTCACAGGAAGAATTTCTTCCTCATATCCAATTTGAACCTACTTTTGTCACTTTGGAGCCATTCCCCCTTGTCCTGTCACTCCAGGCCCCTGTCAAGAGTCTCTCTCCATCTTTCCTGTGGGTTCCCTTCAGGCACTGCAAGGCCACAATGAGGTCACCCCAAAGCCTTCTCTTCTCCAGGCTGAACAATTCCACTTCCCTCAGCCTTTCCTCCCAGCAGAGCTGCTCCATCCCTCTGATCCCCTTGGTGTCCCTGCTCTGGCCTGGCTCCTTGTGCTCCCTGTGCTTCCTGTGCTGGGCCCAGGGCTGGATGCAGCCCTGCAGGGGGGGCTCAGCAGAGAGGAGAAGAACCACAATGTCCTCTTTTGCCATGGAAAGGAGGACAGCAGAGAGAGAAAGTGATACTCTCCCATACTCTGGGAAAATGTGTTCTTTGGCTGCTGAAATAAAATGAGAAAATGTGAAGTGTCCAGAATGCTGCAGCACCTGACTGACCTTTCAGGAGGAAGTGGGAGGACTGTGGAGGTACCAGCTGGAAAGCAGAAGTTTGTAAACAGCTGAGATTTAGGCCTCTAGGTGGGTGAGCAGAAGATTACAGGGTTGAGGCTTTTCTGTCCAAGGCAGCATGGAATCAATGCCAGGATGATTTGGGTTGGAAGAGCCCTTAAAGACCATCTAATTCCAGTCCACTCCCAGTTCTAACATCATTCCCCTTCTGATTCCAGCATCTTCCCCCTCCCTTGCCAGGCAGGTGATGGTTCAGTAGAAAAGGACATTTTTTGCTTGAGATTGAAGCCTAGTTGTTCTGAGGAAGATTCTTTAACAAGTAACATGAGTTAGTAACTGTGTCAGTACTTAGGCACTAAACTGTCCTCAGTGCCAGTAATGCAAAGCCAGACTAAATTTATTTTATATATAAAGATGTACCTATTGTTAGAAGGATACTCAAGAATTTGGAAGGATTTTTCCGTCCTACATTAATCCTTTGCATTTGAACCACACAAAATAGTCACTAGATGTCTCTACTTCACCATAAAATGTATCAGAATTTCTATTCGATTTAAACTGATGGAAATTTGAAGTGCTTATGTAGGCTTTTTTCAGAAGTATGAGTTACACAACACTGACCTGTTTGATTCCTGGAGTTCTGCAGATAAACCTGCCCTGTCCCAGCACCTAAAGCTCTGCTAGCTCCCAGTTAAAGGAAATCCTCTGGCTTAGGATGAAAAACCCAGCATTTTCCCTCCCTGAAATAGATAATAGCAGGTTGTTATTCCTGCACTGGGCAGAGTAGGAAAGGGGAAAACCTTTCTTCACTCCATGGTTTTGAACTCTTCACTATGGAGAATAAATTCATATTGTTCAAATCCAAAACAAGCCCATTTATGGATAGAAATCTCCATGGATATAGGCCACTGTTCAAGTTTACAGCTTTTGAGTATAAACTGAGGAGCTGAGTGAAGCTGAACAAGCAGAATAAAAGCCACTGAGAATAGTATCAAAAAAGTATTTTCTTCCCTCCCTCCTTTTTTTTTCCCCTTTTAAGCAATCTTTATGAGATGCAGATGCAAACTTAGTATCCCTGGATAATAAATCCTGTATTTTCAGGAGGGGGAGGCTTTCCCATGTGATAATTAACCACCTTCCCTCTGTTTTCCTAGAAGGGGTATAGAAAAAAATACTTCAAATTTAAGAGTACTGGATGCTGTACCTTCAAAATTTCCTCTGATAACCTTATTTCAAATATTTGAAGATCTTCCTGAGTGTGAGCAGATCAATCTACAATGTATATCATAAAGAACACTGACAACAAGGATGTGATGCTGGGTTGAAATTAATAATCATCTGCCTTCTGCCAAAAAGTAATGCAGTATTTTATGCACAATGTTCAAAAACCCTTGATCTTAAAGATTTTATGATGCATTAAAATAAACTCTGAATGGTTGTGAAATCCCACTGGAAGCATTTATACTTCAGGCATACTTCCTGTAAAAATAGGTGAAATAATGAAATTTTGGACAAATTACCTGGAAGTTCTAATACTGCAGAAAACATTATATTCTTGCAGGAAACATCATGGCAATTTGTTTTTATTATTATTCTATCTGTCCTAGTTTGAATATGGGCTTAAAAAGCTAAACTACTGAATTCTAGTCCATTCTTTGCACAGCTGACCTAAACTGTCATTTATAAGTTTATTTTTGATTGCATAATTGCATGATTTTGAGCTAGTATTATTCGCATAGTAAGGAATAAAAAGATATATAAATTGTAATTCTACAGTGAATGAAGTCACATATTTTTTCCAGAGTTTTTCTGCTTCAATCAATTAAAGCCTGAGTGGCTCCTGTAACTCACAGGAAAGCACTCAGATGAGGGTGGTGGGTGTTCCACGAGTGACAAGAAACACTGCAGGTGGACCTGCTGACCAAGTCCAAAGTCCCCCTGATGCCAACTTCACACCCAGGAATTTCCACAGTCAACTGCCCTAAGGTTGTCCCTGCTTTCCTCTGGTGCAGCTGAAATCAGAGCTCATGCTCTGCATTTCTAGAGCTGTGCAGGTGGTTTATCACTTATGTAAATAATTAATTTTGATGCAAACAGAACTCTAAGAGGAATGCAGTGAGTCTCAAACTTACAGTGTGGAAAGCTCCCTCCCTGAGTTCCTGGGAAGAGGCTTTTTGAGAGAGGAGAAGTTGTAAGGCATTTTGGGGGCTTTTAGCTGTTGCACCTTGGATGTTCCTTCTAGGATTCTGAGAGAAAAAGACAGTCAAAAACTGTCTTGAATAAACTGCACTTAAGTACAACTACAGATTTTGGTTTGTGTTTGTCTGGGCCAAACTATTTTGCTGTTTTCTGTTATCAAAGACTCTCCCCATGCTGGCTTTTTTCAGGGATCATTGTTATTGTTACCAGAAAGGTTTCACTTGAGCTCAGCAGCTTTCAGGCAGCACAAGCAGCTGTTTGGCCATCAGTGATATTTGCACACACTCTCCTTCTACTTGAAATTGCTCTTCAGGTGCTGAGGACACAGAATACTGTGCACAGAAAGCTACAAGGGAGGGAATTATGCAAGAGGGACTGATAATACAGCAGCAGTGTTAAATATCAATATTAATATTCCCATGTTAAATATCAAACATTTCAGTAACTGATTGAGACATTTCTAAAAGGAGATGGGAAGGTCTAAGTGCCTGGCCATGCATGACTCCTTCAAGTCCAGTAGAATTGTCATTTTTCTTATAAGTTGCATAAGAACTCATCAAACAGATCCCTTTCTTGCAAACACCCCATTGCAGCTATTTTCCAGCCATGCAAGGTAAACCTAAAAATAGAACACGCTCCTCAAAGATATCAATCTCAAAGCCCACAGCCATTTAAATTCAGTCTTTAGTTGCCAATTATTTCTATTCAGAGGTTAGTGGACATAATCCTGTTCCTGCTGGCACTAAAACTCTCTAAAAGCTTGGTTATAGTGATCTACTGTGTCCAGAGCTTTTAGGGTGCAGAAACTGCAGTGGCTGTAGTGTCCATCAGTGCTGTCCACAGCCTCTGAGGTTTTGATGTTCTCAAACCCAAAAGGGTGACCCTCACAGCCCTCCTGACCAGGCAGGTCTCCAGGACTCTCAGCCCCTCTCATTCTCAGAGGGGAAGGAAGGGGAGCTGGTGAAGCAGAAGCTGTCTCATGGGTATCACCACAGCAGCCAGGCTGCTGGGCTGCCCCATGGCAGGACTCACTGAGGTGGCTGCTGGGG